AAATGAATGTGTTAAAAAGCTAGATTAATCTTGTCATTTTTCTAATTCTTACTTATATATATAGTTAAAAGGATCACTTCCAACACCACAAAAACACACAGTAACTTAGCGACGGAAATTTGGAACAAATTTTTGTTGCTAATTTATCACAAATTCATCGCTAATTCATTCGCTAATTTACTGATAGAATTTAGCGACGGAACATTCTGTCACTAAAAAATCAATTACTATTTTGTTGTTAAACCATTACAAATAATTTTATTGACGCCATTTTGCAACAGATTGTTCCATTGCTAAAAATTCTGTCACTATTCCGTTGTTAGACCATCAAAAATAATTTAGCAAAGGAATTTTTTGATGGAAATGCTCGTTGTTAATTCTCAGGATGTGTATTCTCATTCTGTGACAACATTTGCAATGAAATTTTTCATTGCAAACCTTTCCGTTGTAATTCCATCACTAATTGTTTTAAATTTTATTATATGATTTATAATATATATTTAAATATAATTTATTTAATAATTTATTATTATGCTATAAACAAATAATTTTATAATTATAATTTATTATTTTAAATTATTTAGATATTACTAATAATTATAATAATTTAAATTATATATTTAATTATTTGTTGATAACATAGTAATATATCTAATTATTGTTATTTAAAAATTAAAATATTTTTAAAAATAATTTAAAAATATAAAATGTTACATATTATAAAAATTATAATAAAATATATGGTGATAATAAATTATTTGTTCATTTTAATATTAAATTTTTATCAAAAAATAATTTTTTAAAATTATAATATAATATAAAATAAGTATTATATAAAAAATTAATTTATTTTATTGATAAATAAAAATAATGTTAAATAAAATAAATATATTTAAATTATATATTTATTGATACATACATACATACATACATACATACATACATACATATATATATAAGTGTGTGTGTGTGAGCGGTTAAATATTGTATATTTAATTTATCAATTAAAGATTAAAAATTTTCTTCAGCTCAACTGATAATAAAGTTAGACACAAAGGCTCACGTAGGTGTGAGATTATGGGTTTCAAACTTAACTATATTAAATATTTTTATGCTAATAAAAAAAATAAAATTGAAAAAAATAGTTTAATTATTGTAAAGTGTCCTATATTTTAGGTTAAGAATTACTTTTATAAAGTATCTTATAAATATGACCGGAGGGAGTATATGTAAAAAAACAAAGTCTTCTCTGTATAATGACTTGCAAGTCAATGTTTTTATGTGCATAAACAAAAGTACTTTGTTAAAGTATTATTTTCATATTTATTTATGAGAGATTTGTGGGAAAAAAGTGGCAGTGTTGGAATAACATTCCATTCGGTAGAAAGACGAAACAAAAAAGATTAGCTGAAGAAAAATCGAACCAATGAAGCACCAATTAATACCATGCAAGCAAGTCTTTTCTGTATAATGACTTTCTCGGTCAATACATGTTTATTTTACCCTACGCTTTCTAATTCTGCTGATTTCTAATGTTGCTTAGGTCTTGCCCCTTCAAATAAGAGTTAATTTAATTTGATGTTATTTTTGTAAAACATATTGCAAATATCAAATTATAAATTAAAGAACTAAGAATAATTTTTAAAATTGTAGCTATCACTTTGGTTATTTATACACTATCTTCAATTTAAAAGAAATGTAATAAAAACATTATACATTACCTGTAGTTAAAGTCTTTTTTGTTATTCTTGATCCTAAAAAAAATTCCTTTTGTTGTTTTTAACAAAAGTTTCTGCATTTTGCTTTTAGTCTGAAATTAAAGTTAAAGCCTTCACCATAAAAAAAAGGTTTATATATATATATATATATATATATATCAGTTTTTCCCAAAATTTTAACTACATTAACAAGAAGATATCATGGGACCGGATACCAGTCCTGGAGCAAGAATGTGGACCGGGTATGTCAGGGCTCAAGCCACCCATTTTGGTAAGCTCAAGCTTTAAAAATTGGGATGTTTCAGTATAAAAAGATTTTTAAGTTCTGAATAAACAAGCTCGTTCTACTTATTTAAGCCCATGCATATTTTTTTAAACTCAAAAAATTAGTGTATTTTAAATCAATCGATTAGATTTAGACTTTAAAATATGTATTTTTTAAGTTAGGATTTGTATTATTTATTTTTAATTTTAAAATATTTTAGTTCGCACAAAAGAGCATAAATATATAATATTGATAATATAAAATTTAATTTTTTAAAAAAATAAAAATAAGTTCTTAGGCCCAACTCTAAACCTGGTTAATTAATAAAAGCCGAGATTGAAAAAATGGTTAACTTTAAGATGAAAATACTTCCAGGTTCGAGCTCTTTTGAATAGAGCCTTGCCCATTTCCTTCTGAATTATTTTTTAATTTAATATTTCAGAAACCAAGCATAGGCTCCTCTTCGGATGGGTTGAAACTAGAAAATTAATGGTAGCGACAACATAATGTAAAAAAAGTGTCAATTTAATTTGAAAATAGTTTAAATAAAATGAAGTCATCAATCGATCAATAATCTAGTGACTTCCTTGTGTTTTGGGTTTGAATAATCACAATTATATTACTTTTAGTTATTTTAATTAAACATTTCAATATTGGAAGAATCTCGCTGAAGGACTAGTCAAGTGAGAAATTTTCATTAAAAAGACCAAAAGAATATGAAATACCTTTGCAAATCTTGGGAATTAAAGTGAAAATAAGTTGTCAAGTAAATTCATTGAAATGACCTTGATGAATGCGAGAAATTATTTTAACATATTACTTTTCATGGGTCATTCGCATTCTAACAAATTTGAAAATGCAGGAGAAAATCTGTTGAAATAAACTTGTTAGACACTCTCTTTGTCTTTAAATGTAAGATATTTTTAACTTTTTAAAGTGTAATTATTATCTTTTTTTTAAATGTCCATATTAAATGAATCACTTTATATTTATTTTAGGGTAAAACACTCTAATAAATAGGGATAAATATAAAAAAATATTATTAGTTTGAAGACAAGTAACTACTTCATTAAGAGATGAAATTTTGTTAAAAATATTTTAAATTTTTTAACAAAATGAGTATTAGGTTATGTTTGCCGTTTTGCTAATTTTTATTTGTCAATTTTTTAAAACTCACTTGCACGTTAACGGTACTGCTAAAAAAACACTTTTTACTTCGCTTGTTCACATTGGTTAGAAATGAATGTGTTAAAAAGCTAGGTTATGCTTGTCATCTTTCTAATTCTTACTTATATATATAGTTAAAAGGTTCACTTCCAATCTAGTTTGAGCCTCTCTTAGTTTAGAGTCGAATGCCACTATTTCCCCTTCATGAAAACATGTAATGCATAAATGTAGTGTTATATATAAAATCAAGCAAATGGAAGCTAAGTTATAATCATCATATTTTAGCACATATTAATGCATAAATATGGATATTTTATAGGTATAAAATAAATATACATCATACGATTCATGAGTTACAAGAACAGTCCATCTCTTGATTATTTCATTATTTATTTTTTCTTCTCTTCTTCCTTCTATTTTACTTTTAATTTGAATTAAATCTTTGAATTTTTCACCTAAAATTAATATATCTTTTGGTCAAAAAAGTTTCTATCAGCTTATTATTTTTCAAGCGCATTGCATACGGCAAAAAAAAAAAAAAATCTGTTCAAATATGAAATGTAAAAGAATTTATAATATTCACAAATCATGTGTACGTAATACGTTAAGATGTGAATTGTGTGATCCTTAGTGTAGGAAGAGGGGAAGAAGTCCTACAAAAGATTTATAAACTTATTGTCTCTAATATGATGAAGCTTCTATTTGACTATATATAAAATATATTAATATTAGTTAATTAATTGCTAATACAAAAGAAGACCAAAATTTAGAATCACAAGTCCGTCTTTGGATTTTTATATCTATTCTTATTTATCTACACTATATATAAATGCAATTATTATTAGATATGATATAACAAAAAGGAAAATACAATGGCTTCCCTTTCATTTTGTTAAATAGAAAATTTCCTTATGTTTTCAAAATTTACATCTTAATCCAATTTGAAATACTGTTAAAAATATTTCGTTAAAAATTCTTAAATATTTAATTTTTAATTTATAATTCTGTTGAAAATTTAGAATTATTAATTTTCCATCACATTGTAATAGTATACTCTCCCCCTCTAATTAAAGAACTTTAAAAATGACTAAGTATGGAAAAATTTAAATAAATGATTCGAAAATAGTGTGCCAAGATCAATAAAATTTAAATAAAAATAAATAGAGATTATATTAAATAATTTAACAACAATTATATTAAATTTATATTTCATTAAGTTTTTTTACATATATGGTTAAAATATTATTTTAGCCAACTTATTATGTATTTAAATTTTTAAAAATTATTAAATAAATAGTTTTACACAACTAAAAAATAAATTTTCAAATTATTTAGTAGTGGTAGTGGGTCCTTTTTATACAAAAAACAACTAAAAATTTTAAAACATGTATTAAAAATAAAAAATGCATTAAAATTTTTTTTGTAACTTAAAGGAATTTTAGGTAACATCCGTGTTTAAAGAGGGATATTTTAAGGAAGTTTGTGTTTGGTCACTATTAATTTTAAGGAAGGTTAATATAATTTTAAAATAAAAGAGAGATATATGTATCTAAGATAAAATAAAAAGAATGTTACAATATTTGTTCTATAAATATATATATATATATATATATATTTTTCGAATTAATCGACGGTCAAGTCGGATTCTTCATTCCTCCGCTGCGAAGCAATGACAAGAAAATTCTTCGACTGATTGCAGAAAACAAGAACAGTCATCATGTAAAGCAAAGAAATCACCTTTGACCAGTAACACAGCAAAAAAAATAAAAACATCCCTCTCTCAGTCTCTTGGTTAAATTTCCACGCGTCTCCTGGATGCAGACTGGTTCAAACGTAAAAACCAGTATAAAATGACCATGATCGAAGCTCTGATATTGAAGATGAAGACGAAGAGGGGTGCTAAAGTCGTTGATGCCCTCGTCAGCGTCTTGTGTTGGTGTGTGATTCTGTGTGTGAAACTGGGAGTCTCACACAGCAACACAACACGGGTGAAAGTGGGAGTTGTGGTTGATGTGTCCCTACCAGCTGGCAACATAGGATTGAGCTGCATTAACATTTCCCTCTCCGACTTTTATGCCTCTCATTCTCATTACAAAACCAGGCTGCTCTTCCACCTCCGAGACTCCGGCTCAGACATCGTTACTGCAGCATCTCAAGGTTCTCTCTCCCTCCCTCCCTCTCTCTCTCTCTCTATATCATCTACATGCAAGATGTGTGTGTGTGTGCATAGGGTGTTGTTGGTTTGAGCCTGTGACACTCACTGGATATCCAAATTCGTCTTCTTGAGTTTCCTTCTCTTTCCCCTTGGCATAATGTTTTGTTGTTTCAGGATCCTTTGTTTCTCTCTCTCTCTCTCTCTCTTTTTTAATGAAAAAGTCACTTAATTTTTTCAAAAAAATTATTTTTGTAAATTTTTATGATATTTGTTTAATCTTTAGAAAATTGCCAAAATTTGAAAAAAAAAATCTGATTATTTAAGAAGGGAGAATTTCAATAAAGACTATTTGACCATACTTAATTACATTCAAAGCCCTTATATTTCTGAAATTTCATTGCAGTTTAAAGGTATTAATTTGATATTAAATTTCTGAGAGAAATTAAATGACAAAATTGCCTCTCGTTTAAATTAATATTAGGACTACCATACTTCCCTTGTTTATTTACTTATTAGATATTGTTAATTGTCCTATTTCACTTGTTGATTCTTATACTGTTCATTTACTTACAAACTATTATTTATTATCCTATTTTACTTGTTTATTGTCAGACTTTCATTTAATTTCATTTTAAGGAAATAAACAAGTTAAGTAGGATAATTAATAGTATTTCGTAAGTAAATAAATAAATGAAGTAGGACAATTAATAAGTGAATTAGTAGGGAAGTTCTAATAATAATTTAAAGGAGGGGCAATTTTATTATTTTTCTTAAAAATTTAATATCAAATTAGTACTCTTGAATTGTAATAAATTTTAAAAAATATAAGGACTTTGAATGTAAATAAGTTTAGTCAAGGGTCCTTTATTAAAATTCTTCTTTTTAAAAAACTATTTTAAATAGTTTTTAAAAATAATTTGATGCAGTAATTGAGGGAGAATATTTTAAAAATGCTGAAGGCACGAAGATATCACAAATTTTGAAATTCTTATTTACAAAGTGACCATTATCGAAGCTCTGGGCTTGGAGGTGACATTGGAAGATGAAGATGAAGAGGGGTGCCAAAGTTGTTGATGCCCTCGTCAGCGTCTTGTGTTGGCGTGTGATTCTGTGTGTGAGGCTTGGCGTCTCACACAGCAACACAACAGTAGTGAAAGTGGGAGTTGTGGTTGATGTGTCCCTGCCAGCTGGCAACATAGGATTGAGCTGCATTAACATTTCCCTCTCCGACTTTTATGCCTCTCATTCTCACTACAAAAACAGGCTCCTCCTCCGCCTCCGAGACACCGGCACAGAACTCATTACTGCAGCATCTCAAGGCTCTCTCTCTCTCTCTCTCTGTGTCTCTGTCTCTGTCTCTGTGTATATATGTGCGCGCGCGCCCTCGGCCTCCCCCTCTGCCCTCATTCCTTCACTTGTTTTTTTCTCTAAAATAAAATCAAATAGAAATCTGGTAATAAATAAGTAAAGCAGAATAATTAATAATAATATATAAATAAATGAATAATATATAGTATAAAAATTAATAAGTTGTTTATAAATGAAGTAGGGCAATTTTATCATTTTTTAAAAAAATTTAATATCAAATCAATATTTCTCAACTGTAATAAAATTTTAAAAATTTAAAGATTTTAAATATAAATAAGTTCAGTCAAAGGTTCTTTCTTAAAATTCTCCCTTTAAGAAACTACTTTGAATAATTTCTAAAGATAATTTGATATAGTAAATGATGGAGAATGTTTTAAAAATGCAGAAGACACAAAAATATCATACATTTTAAAATAATTAAATAATTAAATCAATTTTATAAAACAGAAATGAAGAAAATATTATAAAATTTAAAAGTAATTAACTAATAACTAACTAATATAAAGCAAAGCTTCTCTTATCATTAGAACCAAATTAAAAAAATGTTAAATTCAATTAGGGATAAATTTTGAAAAGAAGCAATAAAATTTAAACACAAACAACTTGTTTAATCTTCGCAAGTTTAGCAACTAGCTAGGTACTATATCAAGGGAGTACCTTATAATGAATTCCCATATTCATCACTGTTCACTTTTGGAACTTTCACCTGCCATTTTTTGCACCACGTGTGTATCTTCATGACAATGAATGATATATCCAAAGTCAAAAATAAGAATAAGATTATGAAATTCCTGGATGATCAATGATGAACAGCTGCAGATCTAATCAAAACAGAGGAAGTGCAAGCCATAATAGGACCATTAACATCAGCGGAGGCCAATTTTGTGATCAGTCTTGGAGATAGAGCTCATGTGCCCATCGTAACATTTTCAGCTACAAGTGCTTCTCTTGCTTCACTTCGAAGTCCATATTTCTTTCGAATCGCACAAGTTGATTCAGCTCAAGCAAAAGCCATTGTCGCAATTGTTGAAGCTTTTGAGTGGAAACAAGTGGTGCCCATTTACATAGACGACAACGATTATGGGATGGGGCTCATTCCCTTCTTAACTGATGCTCTGCAGCAAGCGTATGTTCGAATTCCATATCTCTGTCGCATTTCCCCTTTGGCCACTATTGACGCCATTAGAGGAGAGCTGTACAAACTGATGACTATGCAAACCAGAGTGTTCATTGTCCATGTATCTCCTGATCTCGGCTCTACTCTCTTCCCCATAGCTCAACAGATTGGAATGATGACCGAGGGCTACGTTTGGATCGTAACAGATGGATTGGCTAATGTGTTTAGCTCTCTGAATTCCTCTGTGATGGATTCAATGCGGGGTGTATTAGGTGTGAGAACCTATATTCCTGAAACAAAAGAGCTAGACAATTTCAAAGTTCGATGGAGAAGAAAATTCCTACAAGACAATCCAACAGAGGTTGATACTCATCTGAATGTTTTTGGATTATGGGCTTATGATGCAACAACTGCATTAGCCATGGCTGTCGAGAAGGCTGGAATCACCAAGCAAGGGTTTCTCAAAAGTAATATTCAAAATCTTGGAGTTTCAACGAATGGTGAAATGCTACGTGAAGCTTTATCCAAAATAAAATTCCAAGGCCTCAGTGGAGAGTTTACTATCGTGGATGGGCAATTAAAGGCATCGGTGTTTGAGATAATAAATGTGATTGGTAGTGGAGAGAGGAGAATAGGATTTTGGACATCATGGAATGGACTGGTTGGAAGCCTGGATTCATCTTCATACAAACTAGCATCCATTGTATGGCCAGGGGATCAAAACTTTGTTCCAAAAGGTTGGGCCATTCCAACACATGGCAAGAAGATGAGGATAGGAGTTCCAGTGAGAAACGAATATACTGAATTCGTCAAAGTAACTCGTGACCCAGTCACCAATAGAACCAAGGTCACTGGTTTTTGCATAGATATGTTTAAGGCTGTGTTAGAAGAGCTGCCTTATGCTTTGCCATATAAGTTTATCCCTTTTGCTAAACCCAATGGTGAGAAAGCAGGAACATATAATGACCTGATCAACCAAGTCTATTTGAGGGTATGTAAATTAATCCTACACCTATACTTTCTCTGATCACTATGTTTACTTGAAATCAATCATGATAAAAATATATTCTCCTATTGACAGAACTTGGATGCTGTGGTAGGGGATATCACAATCACAGCAAACAGGTCTAAATACGTGGATTTCACGTTTCCCTACACTGAATCTGGTGTAACAATGGTCGTTCCCACGAAAGACAACAGGAAGAAGAATGCATGGGCCTTCTTAAAGCCATTAACTTGGGATCTTTGGGTGACAACTGCTTGCTCTTTTGTATTCATTGGGTTTGTAGTGTGGGTGTTTGAACACCGAATAAACGAACATTTTCGGGGGACTCCATCGCATCAGATTGGCACCTGCTTATGGTTTTCTTTCTCAACCATAGTTTTTGCACAGAGTACGTCCTCCTCTTCTCCACCACTTTTCCAAAACGATTTTGATTCAAGTGCAAATATTATAAGACGTGATTGATTGAATGGTATTACAGGAGAGAGAGTGATGAGCAATTGGAGTAGATTTGTGGTGATCATATGGTTCTTCGTGGTTCTAGTTCTGGTTCAAAGCTACACTGCTAGTTTAACAGCACTTTTGACAGTTGAGCAGCTTAGCCCAACTATAAGAGAAGTAGATTTACTCATAAAGAACAGAATGAATGTTGGTTATAAGAGAGGTTCATTTATACATGAAATCTTGAAGGAAATGGGTTTCCTTGATTCTCAGCTGAAGGCGTATAACTCAACAAAGGAATGCGTCGAACTATTCGAGAGAGGAAGTGCAAATGGAGGCATTGCTGCTGCATTTGATGAAGTGCCATATGTGAAACTCTTTCTTCAAAGTTACTGCTCTAGGTATACCACGATGGAGCCAACTATTAAAACCGGTGGCTTTAGCTTTGTAAGTTGCATTGTGTAGTTCAACAATTCCACATCTTCTCGGTCTCTATCATATATATCTTTCATTCAAGGCACTCTCTTGAATTTCAGGTGTTCTCTAAAGGATCTCCTCTTGTAGCTGAAATTTCAAGAGCAATATTGAACGTTACTCAAGGGGATAAAATGAAAGCCATAGAGAATGCATGGTTCAAGGAAAAAAACTGCTTCGATTCTGATACATCAGTTTCATCCAACAGTTTAGGACTTGAAAGCTTCTGGGGGCTATTTCTTATTGTAGGGGTTGCTTCTAGTCTAGCTCTCATTTTCTTTGTCATTAACTTCCTATATCAACATGAACATATTTGGTTGCATCATGATCCCGGGACATCCAGGTGGAAACGAATTGAGGGCTTGATAAGGATCTACTACCAGAAAGATCAAAGCTATTACACATCCAAAAAGAGGGAAATGCAAAATAAGAGTGGAACTTGTTGCATGCATGATATAGTTGAAGTTGAGGCATCTCCAACTACAGAATGCACCCCAAGTCCAAGTAGCCTTTCACCTCAAGAACCACAAGGCTGATATATTATTGGTAAAGCGAGTTCGATATCTTTCTGTGAATGTCATTGAGTTGTTGGGCAAGTTCCTGAGCATTCAATCAATAAGTTGCATAAATATTATAGTGTTATAATTTTACTTTGTATTAATGCAAATATTGATATTAATTAATTTAATAATTTTGGAAATTTTGGTTGAATTGAACAAGCAAAAAAGAAAAAAAAAAAGATTTCAAGCATTCATCATCATCCAATCTCCTCACCTATTTATGTGAGCCTGCGTGAGGGCAAGAGATTTATGTGGCTTTACCCTTTCATTCATCCTCACCTATTTAATCCTCCGTAGCGTTAGGCTCTACGTTAGAGCCGGGCAAACAGGCTCAATCCAATGGGTTAACTTATTAGCCCGCCATTTTTTACGGTTTGGGTTGGCAAAATAAGCCCGTTTTTTAAAACGGATTGGGTTAGTCCAAACCATAAAATTAGGTGGGCTAAACGGGCTAACTCGCCAACCCACTTTTTTTTTTCAATTGCTATAATGCCAATACACACGCACACAGGCACGGCCACACCCACAAAAGATGAAGATAATGATGGTGAAGCTGAGTTAATTATGTCAAATGAAGATAATCATGTAACAGAACAAGCTTCCCATGTCATCAATTTAACATCAGTTATCTTGAGTATTGTGTGTATTTGTGTTCATTTGAAGCTTGAAAGTTGGACTTAGATTATTAATTGTTGTTTGATTTGAGTGGACTTTAGAGTTTGGACTCAAATAATGTTAATTATTGAACAATTTAAATTAGAACGACTATATTTGAAATTTTATATGCTTATTAATTGCATTATAAAAAAATTTAAGTTGTTAAAAAAATAATTTCGATGTGTTTAAACGGGTTAACCCGCGGGTTGGCTAGCCCGTTATGAAACAGGTCCAACCCATTTTAATTGGCGGGCTGACCCAACCCAGCTCACAAAAACGTCAGCCAATGCAGGCCAACTCGTGGGCTGGCCCGTAACCCGTTCGCCCAGTGCTACTCTACGTTTCTCTTCTCCCTCGTCGTTTTCACTCTGAGCCTGTCGATGTTGATCTCTTTATTCTGTTTATGAAGTTCTTCATCATTTTCATCGATCTCTTGCCTCGTAATTGCACTTTCTGATTATTTTCTTGAAGAATCAGACTGTGAAGCTGATGGAATCTGTTGATTCTATCTCTGCATTACACTCAGTGAGCCTAATGTTCTACGATTTCTTCTATTTCGGTGATTGTGCTTTTTTGTTTTTTTTTCCTGTTTTATGACGATTGAAGGCAACAAATTAGAGTGCCTGCTTCGCTTTTTATACATTACCGATAAAGAACTCGATCACAGATTCAGGCATTTGCCTTCGGATTTGGTCAGGCATGATCTTACATTTCAATTTTCCGCGTTACTTTCACATCAATTATCTTCAATTATTTCTCCATTTTAGGATTAATTTGCATATACAAAATTGAATCTACAGTTTTCTATGTTGCATTCTTGTCATTTGTTTATCTTCGTTTTCAGTTTTTGGATTTATCTCTACATTCACGATCGAATCTGGAGTTTCAATTTGCGCATTAATATGCCTATTACAGGGTTTTTTTTTTTTTTTAGCCGGAGTCTATTACAGGTTTAAATACTATTTTTTTTTCTTTTCTTAAGTTTTGAAGTTCATTTGGAATTTTCCTCGAGCACTGTGGTTTTATAGCCACTTCCATGGATCATTTCACGATCTGTTTTACTAGCTTCCATGGCGGATTGGCAATACTTTATAATATTGACTATCTTCATCCTTTGTTTTAGGATTTATCTGTACATATAGAAGATCGAGTTTACTGCTTCATTTGGTGCATTCTTTTCAAACGTTTATGATTTATCTCCGTTCTCTGTTTTAGGATTAATTTTTGAAAATTGATTTTTCAAAAGCTATTTCTGCTTAACCGTTTATTTTTTATTTTATTTTTTGTTTTCTATTTTATTTTTTTGATAAAGAATAGGATAAGATAAACAAATAGAATTTTTTTTAAGAAAATAATTATTTTATGTAAGATAATTAATTTTAAAACAAAATTTATAATATGAAATTCAAGTTTCTTGGACAAAATTAATTTTTGGAAATGCAAAATAAATACTGTAGTGAAGCCCATATCACAAAAGTCTGTCCTCAAATGGGCTTCAAAAGCCTACTGTATCATGGATTGCCAGCGGCAAATCGTACTAGTGTTTTCACGGAAAATACTTAGCATTCTTTATGGGGGGAAAAAATAGTTAGCAAAAACAAGTCTTTACATGAAAAATATAATTTTAAATGAATACTTCCTCTGATATTATTTATAGGATAAAAAAAAATTATTTTATTTATAAATCATATCATTAAATTTTTATCATAAATTTTTTTTGAGAAAATATGTTATTAAAGTATGTATATTTAATAAGGATAAAGTTGAAAACTTATTAAATTTTAAGACAGAGTTAATAAATTTTAAAATTTTACTTGGTACCAATAAAACATGTTGGAAGTGACTTATAAATAAAATTAAAAAAGTATATATATTTTAATAACATATCTATCATCAAGATAGATAAAATATTTACCATGAAAAGGGTAATTGAAAAAAAAAAATATTAATATTACATTCATCACTTCATGTAGACTTTATTTTGAAACATAAACTAAATATGTTTGACAAAAAACGAATATGAGGCAGCAAAAATTATGAAAAAATTACACCCAAGTCCCACAGATAGAAGTTTATTATTTAAAGATCTCACAAATTTCATAAAATATTCTCAAATCTCAAATTTTATGCATTGACAACTTCACTAAGGGTATTGACAACTGAGCAACGGTTGCTTTTAATCAAATTACCAACACCTTTAATCAAGTTATTAATGCGTAAAATTTGAGACTTGAAAGTATTTTGTTAAATTTCTGAGACTTTTTGATAATAAATTTTTATTTGTGAGATTTGGATGTAATTTTCTGAAAAATTATCTTCTCTTGAGACATTGAGAGCAAAGGGTAAACTAGATCCCTTCTAACAAAATTAGGACACATAATTAGAGAAAGAAAATTTACCACTCATGCTAACTTTAATTGGTAAATATTATCTTTACCCGAAAGCAATATCTTTGAAACAAAAATAAGTGAACATAAAATGAAAGTTTTGATTAGGTCGGGATGTGGAGGTTTTTTTTTTCTTTTTCCGGTACAAAAAGAGGAGGATTTATTAAAGTATCTATATAACAGTGAAAAAATGTACAAAAAAAGGGTGCCTTGAATCATGAGCCGTGAGATTTCTCTTTAAGTTGCATAATATATTTTTTTTCTAGGTAACTATTTCAGTACTTTTTATTCATCCAACCCTGTTCACACATCATAACAGTGTTTAATTGTTAGAAAAATACAGTCTGTAAAGAACTTTCAAATTACTATCAACGTTGTGGATCATACATGGAGAAATATTTTTAATCATAGACTTGTTCTTTTTCTTTTTTCTTTTTTAAAAAAAGAAGAAATAAAGAAAAGGAACGTGGTGTGGTGGGCAGTGCACAAGGGAAAGAATATCCAGGAGGGAGGACCCTCAATGTTGAGTCGGTTTGTATTATTATTGTCATTTCTTACAACTCTTATCCAAATCAGAACCTCGCGTCCAATCCAATAATGCACCATTTTTCCCATTCACCATCACAACCCCACTTCTCACTTTTGAAAGCTAATTTACATTGTATTTCTATCCCTCCCATTTTTCGCATTCTCTTGTTATTGACATGTATTATGTTGTTTGGCTGCTTCACCTGTTCCTTCTTGTCTTATCTAATTATGTTGGATTGAATGGTTTGAGATAGGTGAACATACGATTATGATACTTAGACCAGATTGGTCCCTTTACTTGTGAGTTTGTCTCTTAACTCTTTCATATTTCTCTTTTCTTTTTTTATCTCCCACTGCCTAAACTCCATCAAATACACACAATCAAACTAGTCATACTGGTTTAAGAATTAACTATTAAAATCATAATCAAACTAGTTATAAATAAAACATTTTATCAAGCTAATCAAAATACTAGTTCAGAAATTTACCTGTTCAACTAGGTAATTTAACCTGAATTTTAATAATTCAAATAATTTACATCTAATTCACACCCTTTTGTGTGTATGATGATGTGCATGATATTTATTTGAACCGTTACGTTCGTGTCGGGCCCAACAATGGACTGACGATATAATAAATCAGTTTCTGGATTTTCTGTGTTGTGTTCTCATTAGAAGGCCATGTTGAAAGCCACTCAAATTCGAAAAGAACCACCTTGGCTTGTTTCATCGCCAGGAAGGCCATGGCTTTTCTTCTCCACAACCTCCCTGCTTCACTCCTTCCCCATTCTAGATGTAAAGAAACACCATTTCACCAGAACCGTTCTCCTTCAAAACCCTCTTCTCTCTCTCCTCTTCCGTCAATCTCGTCATCTCCTCTGACCATTCTCCAAAATCCCACTTCACAGGTTGCGCAGGTCGACATTCCTCCTGTTGCTCAAGACGATAAGCACCACAAAGACGACTTCTTTCTCAACCTCGGCCTTGCTGTCCGTACCCTCCGTGAAGACCTCCCTTCACTCTTCATCAAAGATCTCAATTTTGACATTTACAGGTCATTGCCTCATCTCAGTCTCTCAATTCTCTGTTGATTCCACTCCAAGTTTTACTTTCTGCTGAAAATTAAAGTCTTGTTTCAACTTCCTACTTCAAGAGGTGATTAGATAGTGTTATACAATTTTTCTGAAGATCAATTATGCTCTGATGGCGAAACAGAGAATCACGCTGTTTATGAGAGAGACAATGAATATATAGGGTCGAACCAAAATGAGGGTTTAGTTTTCTCCATTTTGATGTTTCTGAAGCTTTTTTAATTTCTGAGGAAGGTGGAATTTTGATCATTTCAGGGATGACATAACATTCATGGACCCTCTGAGCACGTTTACTGGAATTGAGAAGTACAAATTGATCTTCTGGGCATTGCGGTTTCATGGGAAAATGTTGTTCCGTGAGATTGCCCTGGATGTTCATCGGATGTGGCAGCCTTCAGAGAATGAGATTCTGATAAGGTGGAACCTGAGAGGAATCCCTAGAGTTCCCTGGGAAACCAAAGGAGAATTCCAAGGAACTTCACGGTATAAACTGGACAGAAATGGCAAAATATATGAGCACAAAGTGGATAATCTAGCATTCAATTTCCCAAGAACTGTGAAACCAGTTTCAGTTCTTGATTTTGTTACTGCCTGCCCAGCAAGTCCCAATCCTACATTCTTAACAGCTCCTGTAGATGCCTACTCTTCCTGGATAGAGCTATACCGTGTAGTCAGAGAGACATTACATCAAGAAGATATTCTGTTACCACAAGATGGTCTGGCCTTATATTCATAGCTACTAACAATGACGTACTGCTACTTCCAAAATGAAATAATACTTTTTTTTGTGATGTTAATATCATGTAATGTGAGACTACTGCTTATTGAGCTGTTTCTCAGACAATTTGTACAATGCCAATCCTACAGGTTAGATGTAGCTAATTTGGTCAATAGCAGGTAAGGGGTTATGTTGAAGGGGACAAGAGTATGTATAGTTGAGCAGGGATGATGCTGAAGAGTTCTACCATGTTCTTGGAGGAAAATGAGCCTTGACATGTGTTTATAGAGCTGTTATAGATTATGTGTTTGTATATATACAATAATCTGTGAAGTTCATCCGAGTACTTGGTTTTGATTATGTTGCAGAGTTGGATTCCGTTGTTTTTTTCTTATAAAATACTGAGCTACTTTTGAGGTTTCTTGTTCTCCTGTGGTTTTATTTTTATTTTTTTAAATAAATTCTGGAAAATGCATTACTAAATCAAAAGAGATTACAATCATCCACAGTTACTCAAGGAGTCTCCCTCATCATACTACCCCTCTTGAGGAAGAGGTTGGGGATGATCAAAGATATAAATATTATCTTCTAAACTATGCGAAAGTCCAGCTAAATGATTAGCAGTTACATTCCCTTATGGCATATCACCGAGTTCCATTCTCTACGATACATCAATCTTGCATCTTCAATGACATCCTTAAAAGGATGAGAGTTGTTGTAACCTCTAGATAAAAGAGTGACATTTCCAATTCAATGTCAAAAAAATATCCACATTCCTGAAACCACTAATCTAGCAGAGGTGAAGGCCATGGTCCATGGATGATGCCGAGCACTTTGGCAATTGCAAGAGGAACATTAATTAACTGGAACTGAAATCCCGTTAATTATATATAGTCTCTTTTAGGCATCTTTTCTAAGGTTTGTCTTTGCTGATTTGCATTTTTTGTATTAAAAAACCTAACATGACTTGCCTTTGAGTCAGTAGTATGGTTTATTTATTCTACTCACTTCACATTCATCTGAACACAGATTGTTTTATACTTTTCTTAGCCTTGACGGCAATAATACTATTTGACCTCTGTGTGTGTTCAAATGGAGCTTGATAGTATATATATAAGGCAAGACATTCATAAGCAAACCACAACTGGACAAAATAATGGCCCATGCAGGTCTCGAACCTGCGACCTTCGCGTTATTAGCACGACGCTCTAACCAACTGAGCTAATAGGCCGTCGTTGTTGATTAAATGTTGCAGATAATTTTATATCGAATATAATAATATTGGTGTTAATTTAAAAAATAAACCAGATTATGTATTCAATAACATATATCATGGTTTTTGAGAAAACACCAGTAATTGTAATCATATACTATAATACGAACAATGCTATTACCAGTAGATTGGGAAAGAATGTAACCAATACAAGATTGTTGAATCAAAAATATTAGTTACAAGGATGGAATCTTAATCTACTTGAGCATATCTCAACCCAAAACCAGTGCTTAACGAAAAAATTTACCTCATGACATGACACCCCCAATATTATATTTATATATATATATATATATATATAGACTCGGCCAACTGTTATAAATTAATGAAATGTTACCATTCTCCACATCCAGCACAGCTTCAGATTCGGACGCAAACTTTTTTCAAAATAATAATAGTAATAGTAATATTGGGATTTGAAGAGTTTGCTGCAACTTTTTGCACATCCTATCTTACTTTTTTTTTTTTTAACAAACAATACTTTATGAAAATTTCAAAATACAAATTAAAGAAGGACCCCTTGACTATGGTCACAATTGTGAGATAATATCTAGAAGATGCATTTGCAAAGAAAAAGAAAAATAAAAATAAAAATAGAATAAATATTGACTCACACGACATAATCACATTTATTTATTTGGACTTTATGACTAAATAATTCACTTTTTTCTTTTTTAATAAAAAATATTCTTTTTTTTTTTTTAGTGCTTATCTAAATTCCAGTCGAATTAGGCTCAAAATGGGAAACGACTAACCTTTTTCTAACTACAACACTTAGACCCGCAAAAGTTTACACTTGTATAAATGCATCATTTTCCTTTGAGCATATTCTTTAAGCTATAATTCTTGAGCCCTTATTTATAAATGTTTGGGTTGAAGCCATTCAAGGTTATTTCCTCTCTTGGCAAACAAAAAAATACATCCTCTCATCCATTTAATTAAAAGTTATTTAGAGCATTTTCACAGGAATTAACAAGAGATTTGAAAACTTGTTGACTATATCTAAAAATTAATAATATTTTCAACTTTAACCTCATCAAACCCATCCTTTGAGGAGCCAAAAGCCAAGTTTGGAAAATATAAGCCAATATTGATTAAGGCAATATAAAAAAATTAATATTGAATATCTCATATAGCACCTTATAAAAAAAATACTTGGATCTAGTGAGTTATTTAAATTCACTCATTCAATAAGTATTTTATATGGTATGATAATAACTATTTGATTTAATCAAATACAATGGCTGTAAGAGAATTGTTTAGATTGTTTTTCTTTTTTTTTTTTTAAGAAAATGTATCTTGATGTTCAAGTATTGAATAAAATTAAATGGCTGTAATTGATATAGTCATTAAATGAGTGAATTTAAGTCACCCATTTAATCAAAATCTTATGCAAAAAGATTAAAAGCATCTATCCTCCAAATAACTTATAAGAAAGAATGGAGGGAGTGGAAAATAATGGTCACAGCTCACAAAAGCGTGAACTCAAAAATTCAAAAGCAGTAGAAATTTGTAGCTTACCCTTTTATAGAAGAATAGCCAAAGCATAAGGGAAAAAACAATTATCTCACTAATGAATAATAATTAAACTTAACAATAGAGATTGCTGTCTTTAATTATGTGGTCCAAATTAAACACACAAGGAATATAAGCCTAATGGATCGTCCATGGTATTTTTGGGTAAAGGCTGTCTTCATCATTTACAAGGAGGAGAGTGGGCATTTACAAGATATTAATAAAAGTTAATTTTTTTTTTTTGATATCATGAAAAAGTTAGAGATAATTTTATTTTTATCATTAGCTTTAAATAATAATACAATTACGTAAAATATATTTAGCCTAATCAAGAAGGGATAAAATTAAAAAAAATAGTTTAATTATTATGAAGTGTCTTATATTTTGAATCAAAAATTATTTATAAAAGGTGCCTTATATTTTAAATCAAAAATTGCTTTTAAAAGTAGTTTAACTATTCTAGTACGAACTAATGTTATACCAAGCCAGTAGCATTCTTATTTTTTAAAAAAACATTATATATTTAAATTTATATATTTAAAGGACTTATTTTCAATTAAATTTAAGATATATAAATTTTTATGAATTATTTATTTTATAATAAATTATTATTAATATTATTAATATTTTAAGATTCACTTATTTTGATTTAATGAAGAAAAATATATTAAATATATAAAATTAAGTATGTAAGTCTTTTATTCTTTTGATGTCATAAGATAAGTACAGTTATATCAATCAAGTTAATAATTGTAAGAAAAGCATTGGAATAATAAAACTTTAGTTTCTTAAGTTTACCTTAGTTATTGATTTCACTGTTTAAGTTTAATTTTTTATCTATATGATTCCTTATGTATTCTTAAATTATCACGTGAGTTCTTCAAGTTTTAAAGTGTAAATTAACTCTCAAAATAATATAATGTGTAAAATATATTAATGATATGACATGTATATGTAGTTAAATGAGAACAAACTAACCATCAAATTAGTTTTATTTTTTATTAACATATAATCACTTAAATTGTTTTTATTCTCTTATTCCTTAGAAATTTGAAGTCTGTTTTTTCTATGTAAATAATTATAATTTTTTTCATTAATTTACATGCTTGCCATTAATATTTTACAAATGTTATACCAAGCCAATGGTATTTTTTTAAAAAAAATCTTATATACTTACATTTATATATTTAAGAGACTTATTTTCAATTAAATTAAGATATATAAATTTTTTATATATTATTTATTTTATAATAAATTATTATTAATATTATTAATATTTTAAGATTCACTTATTTTGATTTAATTGAAAAAAAATATATTAAATATATAAAATTAAGTATGTAAGTTTTCTTTTATTCTTTTGACATTATTAGATAAGTACAGTTATATCAATCAAGTTAATAATTGTAAGAAAAGTATTGGAATAATAAAACTTTTAATTTATCAAGTTCACCTTGATTATTGATTAAATCATTTAAGTTTAATTTTTATCTATATGATTCTTTATGTATTCTTAAATTATCATGTAAATTCTTCAAATTTTTAAGAATAAATTGACTCTCAAAATAATACAATGTATTAGTGATATGACATGTATATCTAGTCAAATGAGAACAAACTAACCATCAAATTAGTTTATTTTTTATTAATATATAATCAGCTGTTTTGTTCTCTTATTTCTTAGAAATTTGAAGTCTATTTTGTCTATGAAAATAATTATAATTTTTTTATTAATTTACATGATTGCTATCAATATTCAATTAATGTTATACTAGGCAAATGACATTTAAAAAAAAACTTATATACTTACATTTATATATTTAAAAGACTTATTTTTAATTAAATTAAAATATATAAATTTTTATATATTATTTATCTTATAATAAATTATTATTAATATTTTAAGATTCACTTATTTTAATTTAATCAGGAAAAATATATTAAATAAATAAAATGAAGCATGTAAGTCTTCTTTTACTCTTGGTAAAAAAAAAAAGTCTTCTTTTACTCTTTTGACATCATTAGATGAGAACAGTTATATCAATCAAGTTAATAATTGCATGAAAAGCATTAAAATAATAAAATTTTTAATTTTTTAAGTTTATCCTAGTTATTGATTTGGCCGCTTAAATTTAATTTTTTATCAATTTGATCTTTTGTGTGTTCTTAATGTATAAAATTATCATGGGAGTCTTTCAAGTTTTAAAATATTTTCAAGTTTTAAAATATAAATTAACTTTTAAAATAATCTATTAATGATGTGACATGTATATATAATTAAATGAGAACAGATCAAATTAATTTAATTTTTTATTAATATATAATCGCTTACACTGTTTTTGTTCTCTTATTTTTTTAGAAATTCAAAGTCTGTTTTCTCTATGTAAACAATTATAATTTTTTTATTAATTTACATGGCTGGCATCAATATTCTACTATTTATGCTAGTAAATTTTAACAGTATAACATTCTTTTTAAACAATAAGGATTAAATAGATATTCGAAGTAAATTTAATAAACTAAATTGATAAAAATTAAATTTAAAAAACTAATTTGATAACTAAAACAAATT